ATGGTGCCGGAGCAGGAATAGCTTCGGACGTTGAATAAGGTAATGAAGCAGGATCGTATGTGGATGGAGCTGGAGCTGGTGCTGGTGCCGGATAAGCCGCTTGGCTTTGTAGAGGTGATGCATAATCAGATGCTGTGTAAGGTAATGGCGCTGAATCGTAAGTGGCTGGGACTGAAGCTGGCGCAGGTGCTGCGTAATTTAATGAAGATACTGCTGAAGATGGCGCACTGTATGAATCAACTGCAGATAGTGAAGCATATCCTGATTTTGGTTCTTGACTGTAAGATGCTTGGCATGTGTTTGCAAGTGGCAAAGTCGCCGGTGCCGCATTATAATCAGAAGGTGGGTAAGCGAATGGCGCAGGATCTACTCCTGTGGCTAAATAAGAATTGGCGCCAGGCGATGGACTCTGATCTGCTGCTGCTATATAAGAGTCAGGCGCTGCTGGTGGTGAGTAAGGTGAGGGAACAGTCGGTAAAGTTTGGCTCGGTGCTGCGTAAGAATCTTGCGCTGGTGCAGCGTAAGAATCGGCGGGAACTGGTTCTGGTGCCAAAGCTGAGTAATCAGCAGTACACGTTTGAGGCGCCGGAGCGTTATAGCTTGCGGTCGGTGTGGGTTCAACAGGTGCTGGAGTAGAGTAAGAACTGGATAGAACTGAATCTGAGCGTGTCAGAGCGTTATAGCTTGTGGTCGGAACGGGTTCAGAAGGTGCTGCTGGCGCCTGTGGTGGATAATATGTTGTTGCTGGCGCAACTGTTGGTTCATATGTGGCCTTAGGCTCGTAATTTGGTGCAGGGACCGGTACAGCAGCTAGCGTTGGCGTGTAAGAAGCCGCTGGCGAGTAAGGCGGCGCTGCATCATTGCTAGAAGATGCAGAGTAGCTATGGTTGGGTACTGAAGTTTCTGGACATGTACCATTCGCTATGATTACCCATTCTGGAAAATAATTTGAAGGAAAGGATATTAATATTCGCAAACTTATTTGAATTAGTTTATAAAAGAGTTGTGCCACTTACGTTGTCTCGTCTGACAAATCAACTGATTCACTAGGCAGGCATTGGACGCGGTTTGCACRGTACCTCCAGGCACTTGCTGYGCGCAAACTGGCTGGAATATTGCGGGGCATACGATTCCAGCGCAATTAGAGAAACATTCCACCARCGACACCTTAGTGGGACCTATGGCGAAGATTTTAATTAATGCGCCCAAAATTCATTAAGAACTAATACTCACTTGGTCGGCCAGCAAATAGCTCTTTATAGCTAAAGACATTCAGTTTACATTCGTTCTCGAAGTAAATGAATTCGAAGCCACTCTTCGCGCACACCGGCTCACCACCATCTGGACAAAGCGGCGTATAGAGCGCGCTATGTGTGGATGCAATTAGGATGCTGAATAAAARTAAACGCCACATTTTTGGTTAAATTGACCAACTACTGAAACGTTTGTTGTGGTTTGATACYAAATTGAAGGTCGCATGCCTTATATACTCATGATGCAATTAAGTGGAGTACAAAGCTGTTTACTCTTTCTCTAATTTAGTTATCATTCTATGTGCTTCTTGTGCCATTAAACAATCTGCAGACCATTTAACCAAAGCAATGAAGTTTTATTCAAATATGTGTGTCAATGCAGTCTGCGTTCTTAACGGTATTGTGCATGTTTTGACGGCGATCTGCAGCTACAAYTACGTGCCTCTAGACACATCAACTAGAGAAACAACTACAACGCACCACTTGCTTCAATCATAGCAGCAAATTGTAAAATACTCGGACTCAGCTACTAAAATGATCAATTGTTTAAAATATTTTTTAATTGCCAAAGCGGTGAATCAGTTGCAGTTATCAGCAAAAATTTGTCTGAGCGCAGATGAAAATGTATTTCATTCATATTTTCATCGTCAATTCATTATYRCTCTTTGCTTTTGCTATTTTTGCTCGCTTATATTTGACATTTCATTGTCAACACTTTGTTGTTAATTGCTTGTTAATTGTTTAATCTCTTGCAAATAAATATAGGTGAATGGCAAGTTGATATAATGATAATTATGTATGTAATTGATAACTTTTGAATATGGGTAATTAAAGCATTGCTAATATTCGATTTAAGATTTTGAAATAATTTTGTTTTTATTATTATTTCATCATGGAAAGATATACGATMSAACAACGAGTCGAAATTATTGAAATTTACTACCGAAATTCGCAGTCRGTGGTCTCAACTTTAAGACCTATATATGAGACACTTATATCTTGGAATGTGTTCGACTACTATTGGACCTTCGACAAGTTAAGTAAAATTTAAAAAAAGGCTCTAACATCACTTATAAATATAATCTTATCATATTGTCTTCATAGAATAATAATCATAAGGAATTCCAAAATTAAAAGTCTATCCAACTATTTCAAAAGTTTTTGTAGGGCAGTCTTACTTAAAGACATAATTGCACATGACAATGGAAAAGTCTCCGGACCCGACATAACTCACTTCAAGGGTGATACCCTTATTATAGCGACCATCGAATTATTCGRTACCATTTTTGTAGTACGATTTGTCTTTTGAGTCAAAATATAGTCATAGTCTTGATGAAACAGTACTTTCTTTTTTTKTTCAAATGCGGCCGATTTTCGGCGATTTCGTCGTTCAAACGATCCAAAATTGCTATATAATAGTGGTTGTTGATKGCGCATTCCAAAATACAGACGCCATAACCTTGCGAGCCGGTTGTTGCGTTTTCCAATTATTTTGTGGACTTTTTTGGCGTTCACCGTTCGACTTCTTCGAGGAAACAATTCGAGCTGCAGAAATATAGAAAGAGGACCATCTTCTATAAGACTGAGTAATATTGATATCATTGGCCTCAACATCCGATCTSATTATTATTGAAAATGTGAATATATCTCTCTTTACGAGATTTTGGATAATTGGACAAATAAAATTCAAACAAATAAATATTTGTATATTTATATATGTATAAACATTATATCTATTTAATTTTGTATTTGTAAGCCGCTCAAATCGATAGCACTTCATTCCATATTTCAAATCCATTCAATTAGAAATCCACCTTAATTCTTCAAATTTCCGAATTTCGCTTAAACCCCTGCCAACCTCAATAAAATAAAACCAACTCTTCCTCCTGTCTGTCATTCAGTATTTAAGCAGCTCCACGGCGCATCATCATAGCGCCGTCACACATCATGTGACATTTCTGACTTGACTTAATAGCGTCACTGTGCATTTGCACACTCACTGCGCTCGTCAATTATACACACTCTCGCTAAGAAATTGTCGACCAACTCACTTTGGCTGAGTTACCTCAATCCGTGCTTGTGCTCATTTACAAAAGAAAAAAGATCCATTAAGTAAAATGACATGCGACAGGTGTTAGAGCTTGCGTGAGTATGCGAGAGCGCGTTTGAGCGCTTGCGAGTCTCATAGTTTCACGAAATAAAACCGGCAGGTTTTTGTATCCACTAAGTCGCTGTTTTGTCTGAGATGTGCGCAGTATTTGCTTTTAATCAAACCGAGCGCAGGTGTAGCGGAGACAACATACCTAGGTGCGTGCACCAAACTACAGGTGTCAGCGAGAGCGAATTAGAGAGTGAGAATGAGAATACTGCCGAAATGAGTCACTCATTGACTAAAACGGCGCTGTGAAAACATAAACAAACGACATGTGAGCGGTAAGCGCCGCTATAACTCGTCGCTTGATGTTCTGGCTAACTGATTTAAGCCAAGTTCGATATGTTGGTGCTGTACGCTTTTCAGTTGTGCTTTAGCGGCGTTTCGAGTACTACGTGTTTTGCGCTTAAATCGGTTCTACAATATTCGTTCAATATTTTATGTGATTATTTTTGAGTAAGCAAGAGTTCAGTTGAAAAATTTCTGATTTTCGCAAACTGAGAAAACTCTTTGTTGCATAGTGTTGAGAACACCGGCTATCCGAATGTAAGATTGATGAATTTCAATGATGTGGTCAAACATGAGGATGATAAAAATATAATAAAACAAATTAATTGGTGAAAATTAGAAAATCTTAGTTGTGAAAAATAACGGTRATTGATTTGCAGAAATGAAAAATACTACAAACTACTGATTTGAAAGCACTAACTATTTTTTTGCGATTTGAGAGTAATAAAACCCAAATAAATAGTTCAAAAAATTCCAAAAATGTGAAAATCAAAACATGTTCGTGATTTTTTAAAAAGAGTGTAATGTGAAACTTGTTGGTGTGAAAACGAACGAATTTCATATGTAAAACCGAAGAATTGTGCAGTTGTAATTAAAAAATATTTCTAACAAATATTTCTTGAAAAAAAAAATCATGAATCTCTTACAATTGCGCTCAACATTACGGAATATCTGACACGCACCCTTAATAAATGATCGGCAACCTGATATTTTTAGCCTCCAAGACGTTAAAAGTTTTATGTTCCTGCTTGTGAAGGTATTTATAGTTCGCTTCTAAAGTCTTACTCAGAGACATAAAYTAAATACACTGTTAGGCATATACGATTTAAATATTTTGCTACAAAAGACTAAATTATAAATATATAATTAATATAAATATATGTATCTGTTATGTTATGTATGTATGTGTCTTAAATCTTAATTGAACTGAGTCTAATGAGTTGGAAATAATGTACAGTTCAAAGCGGTTATCCAAATCGTACGTTATACTAAAACTATTGTAGGAAAAATCCAGCTTCGACATTTGGGATTCGCTTCTTAAACGAGATACACTGTTGTACTCTGTTAGGTTAGTTTATACTGGCCGGATGACAAGACATGCATAAACCTACTGCTTCTTCTTAGTTTGTGTTTTCCCTAGGGGCTCATGCACATAATCTTTGCGATCCTGCATGTCTTTAAAGCATTCCATCTCGCCTTGTGCGATCTGTCAACCTTTTCGAAATTTCCAATGTATTTTGTTTTTAGTGACTTCCTTTTTTCATGTTCTGGTCAGACGGATGCCACTATGCTATTTCGTTTCCCAGAATTTCTTTCTAGCCTGGAACGCAGTATGTATGTAGCCACTTTCCGGCAGTCCGCTACATCTACCGAYTGCCTGCTTTTTACAACATTTTCTGAGCTAATACGATTTGAGCTTATTACTTTAATTGCATCTTGGCTATCGACGTATACATATATTCATCTTCTTTATTTTGTTTCCTCCGTCGTTTGCTATCTCAGCCGCTTTCCTGATCGCAAMTACTTCTGCCTAGAAGATATTATARTATTCAGGAAATTTTAARGATTGCCTAAGATYGAGCTCTAGAAGATACTACAGTATTAAGGAAGCTTGAARGAAGCTCCTTTTGATACGTCTATATAAATACAATAAGTTCCGCCAGCGAGTTGGACGCTTCTGCGCCATTGCACTATAATCAATATAAATTTTTTTTACCTTTGAGTCCAACTGTGTTCCTTCGTTGACCAGCCATGGTATCAATCTAGTGGTGAAATTTTTGTATATCTTTTAAAAAGAGAGGTACAGTCCTCATTGATAGATCACTTATTAGATGSGTTTTTCGTTAAACTACCGCTTTTATTTCTTATTCATTATTTTTTAATTTATTGAATTTTCTTTTTAAAAATAGACCTTAACCGATATGTACAGTTATTTTTTCGTTGGTTTCTTACCTTATATCAATGGTGGTAAGCTTGTCGTACAATTCTGCTTCGTGCGAGTTAACTTTTTCACGGACTTTTTATAACTTCTCGATGTCTGTGTGGCGTTTCACTTTTAATTTGAAGTCTAAAAAATCTGTTTATAAAATTTGTGTGTTCTTTGACTTGTCTTCCATATTATAAGCAACACCACTGTCGCTTCCCAAAACTTACTAAGAGCGCAGGGTTTTGACTATTTCACTTCATTATTTTAAAGGTGCGGTTTAGTTGGTGAAAATTGCRCAGTTTTGTGGTTCGGCTCATATAAAAAGCAAATGTATGTGTTTTAGAGAAAAGCGGTACAGATAAAAAAGAKTATTGTATTAGAGATGTATTAAATTTAAACATTTTACGATGRAACGAACTGTCTCATGTGAGAAATATTCCTTCTTAGAACGTATGTATATACATATTACAGTTCTGAACTTTAGAACCCTTAACCTTATGCCCACTACATTTACTGAAATGTTATGAGCGTTTTGTGAAAGAMAGTTGAATGCGAAAGGTGGCTGACTGAGAAATATTTTTGTTGACTACAATATGAGTTAGTCATTTCTCCCTATTTCATTAGATTTATGCCTCTTGTTTCAGCGATCAGTTGTGAATATTATACAATTAATTTAGCTGTCAATGAAGACTTCCCATTAAATATTTTATTATTATATATATATATATATA